ATTGTAACAAATAAGTCAAATCGTTTTTTTCTGAGACAAACTGAATTTTATAAGCTCAAAATTTTGTCATAATATTAAAACCTAAAAATTGTTATGCTAAACACAAGGAGGATGTCATAATGTCATAGATACTTATTAGGAGTTAACTGTAAAGTTCGATAAGTACTAACTGCCAAAACATCCAAACCTCAACACCATAGCTAACGAACGTAATCGCACAATTTCATAGTTCAATAGCATTATTTATTACACGTCAGCCTCGTCCAAATATGTCCTATTAATAAATGGACTCCATACACCACGTCCCGACCGGCCACAATGCGTGTAACAAATGTATGAGAAATGCACTCTTTTTGTCCACACTTTGAAACTAACGCTCCATTGTGGATGTATGGAATGTGTGAGGAGATTAATATCATACATAATGTTTATGTAGTGTTCAGTGTTTTTATGTACACAATATGATGTCCTGAATGGTTTAGTGCCGCGGTGAATGGCACTGAACGAGTGTAAAGAGAGTTCCAGGTTCGATTATAACGGTATATTTTTAGTGATACTAGTGAATCGATAGTGGCTAGCCACTTACTCAATGAAGTCACCTCGTGGTTGCTTATGAGACGAACTTGATAAGATCATAGCAAGAAAATTAAGCCTGGGCTGCACCATCTTACTTTAATGGTGTGTCCACACTGGGCAAACGGACTCGCGCGGCAAACTCGACATCCTGCTCACTCAAGAGCAGGGTGAGCAGGATGACCAGCGTGCCGCGCGAGCCCGTGCGCCCAATGTGGACGCACTATAACTACAACAAACGTGAAAAGTCTGCCAAACTCTATAAAAAACAAAGGATATTGTTAAAGTTATGGTTAAAATCAAGTTGATGCAACATGATTTTAACTGTGTATTTTAGGACCAATATTTAAGATCACATTTCTGTAAAAAAACTGAAACGTCCTAGCAGCTGATTGAGAATCCCTAAAACATTGTTAGGTAACCTCGTAAAAACATTTCAAGAAAGGAAAGTGCTTTAAGAGTGCTCGAAAGGTCAAGACTAAATAAATTGTTGTCTATCATCCATCCTGACGCGATTTACGTAACAAACCCTGAAGCCACATTTTTCAAATCCCACAAATATGTAAACGTAATTTGACGCGGTACGAACTGTGTTTAGCATTAAAGTTTTGACACGCGCAACTTTCTACGTCATGCAACGCTAATGGGACAAAGGGCAGCCATTCTTCATGGGGTGATAGTGTCTCTTGAGACAGGCAAGTAAAGCGTATTCAGCAAGGACCACCGGGCCCGCCAGATAGAGTGTGACGTCCTACATTTGTTACTGTTTTAACTGCGGTGATTATGAGGCAGTGCACTTATAAATGCGGTCTAAGCTAGTCCATGTTGCATACACACATATCTACCTATTACTTGCAAAGTTAAATAGCATGAAAAGCTAGTTTTTATCAACTCTTACTTAGCCCGGCGGATAAACGCGACTCCGCACCAATATTTATTATATAAAAATTGTATGAAGCCGAGCGTGCCACTTTTTAAACGTCATTAGTGTCATTTTAGCGAATTTTAGTGATTGCCGCAACGTAAAAGTAATCGTATCATCGTACTGCATTCGCAAAGTCATCGAAAGATATCGTGTGACTCGATTCGAAAATTAATTAATTCGGATAAAACTGATAATTTGTTAAATACAAAACCAAAAACATCTTTATTTACTTTTTTAAAATAAAGTAATTCTTACAATTCGTCAAATCTCGTTATTTTTTTTACCCTACCAGCGTTTCAAGACATAAATTTGTCAAGTGCATGAATACATGGATCAGTGTGTGTCTTATTGTTATGAGTAAGTACGGTTCCTTGGGATCGGTATGAGTGCACCACATACAGGGACCATGGTTTTATCTCTTAAGAGTACATCGCAGGATATGTATTAAAAACAATGCTACTTTATACTTCTTCTACTGCTACTTTATTCTAATTAATTATTTGCTACTTGTGCTGTTAATTACAATTCTCAATCCGTAAATAATATCTTCTTTTTACCGTGTTCGTACTACTGTTCTCGTAAAATCATCGTAACCGATTGTTGTAATCGGATTACATGAACATCACTCGACCATGTATGTCCATTTGGACATATCGGAATGGCACGCTTTGACGATCAACTTGCTGTATCTACTCTAATCCATATCTGTGATCAATCCCTAATTTTTAAGTGACCCTATGGTAATACATAACAAACATTTTGTTCTTATTGGGGTCACTTAAAAATCGGGGATTGATGGTAGAAACAGGCATTAAACCTTTAAACTTTAGATATTCCCTTATTCTCACTGGTGTGGAAACAACTAAGATTCTGTAAGTAAGCCTCTTACGAGTGAAGTCGACCCAGATGCCTACACTACGTATGACAATAAAATTAGGTCCTATGGGTCCTATAGGTTGTTCTTCAGAAACTTTTTAAAGCCTGATATTTATCCAACCAAATTTCCAAATGGAAGCTGTAGATATGAACCCGGCTTATTCACGTAACTGAATAGGGAATGGAAAATCGGTGAGTATCGTAGCTTACCCATCACGAGGCAAATTATAGGAGTACAGTGTAAGAATTGTGAGCAAATTACAACCTTCTGAAATAGCAGCAGTACCTACTTTTCAATCACAGCTAAATGTTCTTCGTTACTCAACGGCTTAGCCATTTGAGACTTTGACACACAAAGATTAGATCTCCTAATTAATTCCGTAACGTCAGCGACACAAACGACTACAATAGGGCTCTTAGTCCCAGGGTACACCGTTTGTCGCCGTTCGATTAGATGGGTATCACCACTTAGTTATAACGTAGTTACTAATTAGCCAAATGGACAGGGTTGTCGCGTTTTAGGCCCAGAACAGACGGTGAAACGCAACTGCAACGAAACTGCAACTGCTAGTTACTTTTGAGTTGCATCTAAGTTTCTGCCATAGCGTCCGTTGAGAGACCACACATGACGCGACCAGTTTGAAACTTTCAGTTTCAGTTTCATTCATGAGAATAATCAGAAAGTTGCAGTTTCGTCGCAGTTGCGTTTCACCGTCTGTTCTGGGCCTTAGTCATATTTTATGTTCGACTGTATGTTTTTTTTTCTATGTATGTTCACCGATTACTCCGTCAATTGTGGAACGATTTTCAAAATTCTTTTTTTGTTCGATAGGGTACACTTCTGAGGTGGTCCCATTGTCACCAAGTCAGGATCTGATGATGGGATCCTAGGGAAATCGACTGCAACCCTCAAATTTTATAGGCACGTATATCGTTTTTCAAACATTTTCTTAAGTTATTCAAGTATTTGCTCATGGAAATCATCATCTCAAATTCATGAGCTGATGATAGAAAGTAAAACTCCTTAATGCTTAAGAGTTGGAGGATAATTCTTTTAATTTTATAGATAAGTATAGTTTCTAAAGTTATTCAAGTGTTTGCATCAGATAGCCATCATCTCATCACGATGAACTGGTCATGGTAGGTACAACTCCTTAACGCTTAGGAGTTGGAGGATAATTCTTTAAATATTATAGGTACAAATAGCCTAACAGTCGTATTCTTTCATGTTTTTAAGGTGGGCTGACGGTTTAAGGTCTTTTTAGGTTGTCGATATGGTAACCTGTATTTTGTAGGGAATATTATTTTTCACTTGACATTAAGAATATACTGCCTACCTTCAGTGGTAACACCAAGGTAATAATTAGTTAACTAAAAAGCAAGAAATAAGTTAATTTTTATAAGTCGGTGCAGGCAAACTTCACACGTTTCATAATCTTGGCACCGACTCCAAAAGTATCAATCATGGTATACATAAATATTAATTCGTCCTAATAAATAAGTAATTAGTGATTATTTTTCTACTTTTTAGTGTATGTTTTTTGGAGTCGGTTTTATTTTTTTTTAGGTATCAACTGTCCACGGCCGGAATATAATCTGGAATGACTCAGTCACCAAATGTTAATGACGATATTCGTTCTTCAAGGAAGATAATGTCATGAATAAGATAGTGCTCTAATTTTCTGTTCAAGAGATATGTAAAGTCCATGCTAATAAGTAAAAAACTCCATAAAAGTAAACTAAAAATAATTTAGATGAATGATAAAAAATACATAACAATGGCTAAGGAAAGAATTCTGGGTAGCACAATACACCAATATTTGACAACCTTACACAATACGCAGCGCTTTCAAATCGATGAATCGATTCCAACGTGTTATCTAGTTAGCCACAGATTAATGAATAGAATCGGATAACTTACAAGTGCATCTGAATAATCGACACCAGCGATCAGATCGTTATCGATCGATTTATAAGGATCTATCGAGTTTCCTGCTTTGTGCGCAAACGAATGGTTATCGGGCGAGCATTTATAAACGCGGTTTGTTTTAGCACAATGAGAGAGAACCGGGCTAATGTTAATGGCCTTTGGGGACAGCCAATGAAATCGAATATTTTATAACTATTTCCTATTAAACCTTGTATCTTGTACTGGAGTAATTGTAGGACTTGACTCGTTTTCTAGGACTTGACCATGCATGCTACTTAGTTAAGTAGGTATATGTTTATGTAGGTAATGTAATAAATGCCTTTGGTATCTTTTACCTACCTACTGACCACGAACCACGTTAAACAAATATTAACCACGCCAGAATGTGGAACAAAGATTGAAAATACGGGAGAGCGGCGCTTAGTGGACACCTAGGGCATTCAAGGCAAGATTGAATAGGAACTTACTGGAGCCTGGACTGCCTGAACTGCATCTACATTTAACAGTAGGAACTATTGTTACACACATACCTATCATACAAGAATATTACTAATAATAAAAAATTGTAGTCTCTATTCTCCAAACTGCTTGAAGAACAAAGCTCGCAAAAATAAAAAAATACCAACCGAATTGAGAACCCCTTCCTTTTTTTGAAGTCGGTTAAAAAATAAGTGAATAGAATACACTCTAGTTTAGTCACTTACCTCCGTCCTTCATAGCGGCCACGGCATGCGGCACCCCGCTCCAAGGGCTCGGCAGGTCCAGGAAGACGGCATCAGCCTTGCCTTTGAGCTCCTCGCCGAAACCCTCGGCCAGGACATCTCTGTGCTGCGCCTGAGACGAAATATCTAGTTTTATTCATAATTGTCCGCAGAATCGCCAAAATCAAGTGGCAGTGGGCCGGGCACATAGCTAGCAGAGCTGATGACCGCTGGGGCAGAAAAGTTCTCGAGTGGCGGTCACGAGCCGGAAGACGTAGTGTATAGGCACGCCTCCCACTAGGTGGATCGACGATCTGGTGAAGGTCGCGGGAGGTGCCTGGATGCGGGCGGCGCAGGACCGGTCTTTGTGAAAATCCTTTGGGGAGGGGTCTTTGTTCAGCAGTGGACGTCATTCAGCTAATGGGTATAAGGGTACAAAAAGTGGATACATTTTATCCAAAATATATTATACAAAAAGCTGTCCTGAGATATGAAGGGTTTAGAAAAGTTATTTCAATTTTTTTTTTGCTGACTTAAACATGAACACAATTACATTTTTTTGTTTAATTTAAGTAAATAATGATGGTAGGTTTTACTACTCACAGTAACAAACTCAGCTATCCCGTGGGCCTCAAACTCTTCTCTGGCTAATTTGGCCCTGTGCTCATGGAAGTCGAAGGTGTAGATGTGCCCATGAGGCCTCACTCGACGGATGAGGGCATGAGTCAGTGACCCACTTCCAGTACCTAGGAAGAATTAAAATAAATTAAACCTTAATAATAATTAATTTAATTTATAAAAAATATTGGCCGCTGGCGCTGGCCAGGAATTATCTTTCAATCAGCCTAAAAAATTATGAACTTATTAAAACAAATTATAACTATTTTATTGAATATTTAATTGGATTTAAAGTAGGTAGTCCAATTAAATATTTGTTCATCCCATACCTAGCTTTTGACTTTTAAGGTACACTTGTATAGTGACGGAGGCAACTTTTCCTTATAAACAATGTATGCAACTCAATTGAAACTAGTAAATAGTAATTTCAGGTTCCTCAAAATCCAGGTATTAGAACATAATTAGATTTAGTTAACCAATAAAAACTGTATGTTGAATTAATGTTATATAAATTATAACATAAAGTACTTACCTGCTTCAATAACCACACTCCCCGGCACCAAGTCAAGTTGCAACATGATCATACTGATGTCCGGAGTGTAGATAATCTGTGTCCGATGGGGCAGCGTCAGAGACCACAGCTCTGGAGTAGGCTGCAGTACATGGCCCCAGCCTTTAGATAGTTCCACCTATTTGAAAGATACTTTTTAGTGACGGTGATGGTTATCTGTGGTGTGGACTTTACGTTTGAAATTAAAAAAAAAGTTATTGAAACTTAATAAAAAAGAGTTAAATCTCAGATCATGCATGAGTATCATAATATTAAATTATGCTCTTTTTGAGAATTTATTTCTAAAATTGATACCATAACATAACCTATCAACTTAAATGTTTTATCAAAAACTATACATTTCTTGAATGAAACTTTAGCGAAGTTAATTATACAGGTAATTCAATGTTTATTAGTTTAATAAATTATGGAAAATAGCTTACCCGACTACCATATTCAGCTCCAATTAGATTCCTAACCTTCAAGGCACCAAAAGGTGTTTGAAAAACATTATCTACCATTTCACCTTTTTTATTTTTTATTTCACGACACACATCTATAGCGTATAAATTGTTACTTAGGTATAAAATAACTGTATCACCCTCATCTATTTTATCTTTATAATTTTTGAAACTCATTTTGAAATAGCTACTTGTTCAAAAGTTTGTAAACAAACATGCGGTGCGGGGCGGGCGGAGCAGTTTGACGTTTACGTTTCGTTTCTCATAATGTAATTAAATAAATTATGTTAAATTGTTATTAGATATTATGTTTCTATTCTAATACAAATTAATTAAATGCAATACCTACTTGATTTGATTAATCATTACCCTTTTTTACTTTAAAAATTGACACTTAGTTTTGGTGATTACGTAAAACGAAACAAGGCAAAGCAGCTTCGCTTTGTTTTCTATTTCAGTTTGTAATGTCTTTCATTGGTTCCTTTTGTGGTTGCTTTTGTATTGGCCAATCGTATTAGCCCATTTTTGACAGCTGTTTGACAACCGTAAACGAAAACAAATCGTTGTCGTCATCAAATTGCATTGCTTGCTTTGCGGTAATTTTTCGTAAAAATCAGAATTTTGATAGAAATAAAAAATGAATAAACGAAGTACATGTGCAGCAAAATATAACTTACGATGAACCTTTCTAAATCAAGTGACGAAAACTATAATTAACTATAAGGTGTGCAAGTGAAAATGGTGAAAATGGATGCTTCAAAAATAACAAGTAAAACTAGCTCCCTGAAGGCGTTAATTCTGAAGGCTTGGAGAGAAAGATGGACGGATATTCAGTGGGGTATCAACATAAAGACGATCCTGCCTAGAGGCGTCAGCGGAGATCTGTATAACCTAGCCGATTGTATACTTCAGCAAGCCATGGTGGGATGCGGTGCGAATCAGCTGGTAATATCATATTTGAAACATTCTCTAGCGTCACACTTGGTCTCATACGCTGCGGTTCTTCAGAGAATCTCCAAATTCGACGCGTTCCACAAACCTCATTGCATTATTGCTTTATTGGAATTCCTTGAGGGATTCCTCGACAGTGTTACATGTAGAGGCAAAATGGAGGAAGAAGTGCTCGCTTACTCCGTGTCTTCAATCATTCTATGGCTTCTGCAAGTATACCATTACTCACTCAGCAAGTACCCATCATCAAACCCAATCCAGAGTCAGGAACTACTAGAGAAGTCTACCTCATTACTCAACTCTATTGTTAACACTGACTTCCTACTGGCAATGTTTTATTTAGCTAAGCAAAATGACCCTGATGAGTACAATGAGGTTACCAAGAAGTGCCAAGAGATCACCACTTACATGATGATGAATACTCAGTTCAAAGCTCCGGTGACTATTCATGAAACGTTGCAGAAGATTTGCAATATGGACATCGATAAAATTGCACCGTTAAACAATAAGCCGGAGAATGTAGCTCATTGTCTACAGGCGTTGGTTGCTATAAATGTTTTAGCGAATCCGAGTGCTGATTTGCAACAACTTTCAAGTCAATTGATGATGGTGCAAAGAATCAAAGGCTATTCTCTTGCTCGACTCTATTGTGAATTGATCAGGGCATGTTTCATCTCCCTTAACGACTCCAGTAAGGATGCGTCCAAGCAAGCACTTTGGGCTGCGTTCACTTTTCTCAAAATACCGCAAGTCATGCACTACCTGCATAACACATCTGGATCTACAAGCAAAGAAAGCGAATATTCCGTGGAACTGGTTGAAGCATTTGAAATGCTGCTTCAATCTACCCCATTACTAGATGTGGTTGATACAAAAAATTCTTGCAATAGCATTATATCACTGATTGAGCCTTTAGTAAAATTGAATATACTATCTGAAACACATCTGTCTTATTTTAACCAGAAAAGGGAGAGCAAAGATGTGAAGCTTCAAAAGTTGGAGCCTACTGGCTTACAAGGTTCAGTGCCTACTTTTATAACAAGAGCAGAGCCAACATTGACTGGTATCCTGAAGACCATGGGAGGTGACTTCTACAAGACCCAAGAGTCGCTGTACACAATGCTGTGCCAGATTGTTGGTGGAGCAACATTGGACACCATATTGGCTGTAGCCACCGTGGAAGGAAAACTAAAGCTACTAGTCTCAAGGCTGATAAAGTTTAATGAGTTTGCACTGCACGCTGCCAGCGAAAAAGGTGCCACACAATCCAAGGTATACATTTTTGATATTTCATTCTTGATTCTATGCTCAATAGTTCAGGATTATGGTGCTGATGCAGTTCTGGAAGAAAATGGAGACTCATTCTTTGAACAGTGGATAAGGGAATGTATGGTGCATAAAGGAGTTCACAAATCACCTGAGCAAATCCTGCAGAAGTGTGACCAGCCACTTGTTGATATATTCATTCACCATTTGAGTGCTCCTGATTTTGATTTCAAGAACACTAACTTGAAGCCTCATGATCTAGCTGTAAATGTAAGTGGGGCAGTAAAGGAAATCTTATTTGCTTGGGAACAAGGCTCACTTTCAGCTGCAGATGTTAAGCGTATGTTGGACTCATTGAGGCAGAAAATGGCATCACTGGCTGTCTGTGCCTCAGTATGGTTATGTTCATACATAAATGTTGTTCATCAAGATGCATTCTTAAAACCTATAAACATGGTTCAGCAATTTTTAACTCCTCTAACTGAGGTTGAGTTAGCTCAGATAGACAATTTCAAAGAGAGAGCCACTCTTATGTGCCAGATAATAAGGAAAATGCAGTATGACATCCACCCTACAGTTGTTCCTAAGACAAAAACTGTGGGTCTTTCTAGAAATATTATCTCACGTCAGCCTATTTTGGAGCAGTTGCAAATAGTCTGGGAGGATATCAAAACTAGAGGTTACCTGCATATTGATGCTACTCATGTTATTGAAAGTTTACTGAACACAACTGGTGCTGTTTGGTTTGTCACATACTTGGTCAAAGAGACACTCAAATTCAGATACCAAGAAGACCTGGACAGATCTGTGGATATTGTTCTGGCTATGTTTCACTTGGATATAGAGAAGTGCACTGAAGCTTTGTTATTACATGTTCTGCCTCAATATTTGTACAATGCAAAATTATGTGAGGAGTTGGTGGAGCCTCAGTCAGCCATATTGGCTAAATTAGCAGTATATTGCCTGTATGCAGCTCTTGAGCAAAGCAATTGGAATAACAAAGGGCACAATGCTCGGAAACGTCGCCATGATGACTCAGAGGATTTGGATAGTATGTGCTCATCAAACAAAGTCAGAAGACTGAATGACAATACATCTGATAGCAACAGTATGTACTATTCTCAGGGTTCTGTTTCTGGTGTGGTATTGAAGGAACCACTGCAGTCTGCTTTGGAGTCTTTGTTCAAGTCCTTCTCGCAACTGGCTGGAAAGAATGGTGAGGTGACTCCACAAACTCATTTTATTTTGGAATTCCTGGTATATGTTGTGCAGTGTGGCCAAGATAGAGCTCAAATTATTCTCCAGAAGATGCCCAGTGAACTTGTTCCTACACTGATAAAGGCATTACCTGACAGCTTTAGTATTAGCCTAATACTTAGACTGTATGATTTATCCACTGCCTATGGTAGAAAAGATACAGCTAGAGACTTATGTTTGTTGAGAAATATGAGGTTGAGACCTGATTAATAATTATCAGGAAATTGCTTACATTTGTTATAACTAATGACATAATTATAATTTTATAAAATTGTTCTAAATTTCTTTAGGTAGACAACATTTTGTATTTTTAGACATGATTTCTCAGAATTAGAATAAGAATAATTAGTGAATGATTTAAAGATTTGTTCTAAGATTAAGGAATTTTGAAATAAATTAATTATTTCAACTACACACTTTTTTATTGCTCTTATTATAACTTCTATAGAGGTTTGAAATAAATTGGACACAAATATTTTCCATTAATATCTTTACTTTTCAAAACTGAATCAACAAGAGCACAAATTATAAATTAATACTAATAATATTTCTAACCATTCAGGAATTCCTGTTTCATATATTACAATAAAATAAAATTATTTGTACAATTGTTTACTATTCTAACTTCCATGAAGTAAATTGTTTACAAATTAATAATGAAATATTACTTACATAATCACTTCAGACTTACTTAACACTGGACGGAAAAGTTCCAAGTAGGTATACAATTATTTGAAAATACTGGTGTCTGGTATGTGTTTGTTTACATTAAATAATACATTAGGTTTTTTTTATTACAGACAACTACAAATAAAATTAGGTACCTATTCTGAGAGTTATTGTTTTGATGTAGGTACACCATTTCTGCTATACACAGTAAAATAAAAGTAGTAAACTATGTCGCAAGATTTTTATATTTTCGCGCCAAAAAATTGGAAAGGGGAATAATTATGATCACGAAATATTGAAATCACTCCTTTTCTTTTATTTACCTTGGACTTCCAATAAAATGACTTTAAAAGACAATGCCGGAAATTGGCGTCTTTTTTTTTCGCGCGGCCATCGTTTTTTGTTGCAATTTCTTACAAAACTTGCGCGCAAAAAGCAAATCTAGTATGAAAATAATTAAACTTCTAATGCTCGTAACTCAGTTCAGACTGAGTTTAGAGGTATACATGCTGTAGTAAGTTTGGTTTAAAACACTATTTTGAAATCAAAAAACAAAGTTTGGTCGATGGCCGCGCGAAAAAAAAAAAGAAGCCACCTTCCATACAAAATCTGGCATTGCCATTTGTTACATACATAATAATTATGTATTAAAATAAATTTTCTGCTACAGACATTAGCTTTTTCAGTGAAAGATAGACAAAATCGGTCCAGCCGCTTCGGAGATAAGCCGGCATTCGAGCACCATATTACTTTCTTCGTATGAACTTAGTTATTATTTTGACATTGCAAGTAAGTGGACACTCAATTTTAATTCATTTGCAAGTATAGAATATTATACAATACCTGAAGCAACTGATTGTGTGATTTCTTTACGTTCAAACAGTGTAGGTTTAGTTTTAAATATTACTCAAAGCCTAAAACTCTAGTACAAAATTCCTGTTTTATTACCTCATAACTTCGTATACGCAGTAGATCACATTCAATGTGACGCTTCATTGCTTTACCTATCTAACAGTGAACCTAGTTTGTACAATTTGACAATATACAATCTAGCTAATATACAAAACTTATCAACACAAAGATCACAGGAGAGTTCCAGAGCTTTTCTATATAAAATAAAATTTATTATTTATAGGGTAACAAATAATTAACTACATTATTCAAAGAAAGTTATTAATATGCTAGTTATAATGCTGGTTTTTTGGCGTCCGGCGAATCTGGGTGCGGACGATCTATAACAATGAGAAAACCATTTAAAATAAGCTCAATACATAATAGGAAAGTTTCTGTTAGTAAGTGGGTAGAAAAAGTTAACGCTCGAGGGAATCAGTTTCATTAGAAAATATTAACAGAATTTTATTTATTACTACTACTGCTACTACTACTCTACGTGCCCCATCTGGTAATCGAACCCAGGACCTCCAAGATACGTTATCAACTTTAACTTTTTGACCACGGGCTTGTCAAATCGACGAGAAGTCACTTGAGGCAGCAAATCAGTATTTTCTAAGAAGGTAGGTAAATATTTACCGACTATACTCACCTATTTGTCTCCTAAGAATATTGTCTGCTTCCCTATTCGCGTTATACGCTGGCGGTGGATTACTGACCCTCATTGGTAAGCTTAATCTATTAGGATTGCAGTTCTCATCAACCGAACTGTCTCCAGCGGCGTACGCCCTCTGACTTCTATTCCACGTCTGCTGGTAGGAACTTTCTGTCGTTACTGTGTTACATCTATTGTTAGTATGAGGAACATATTGCTCTGGTGACCAGTCGAACACAAAGGTGTGACTACAGTTATGAGTGTAAGCTGAGGGAGTTCCAGATGGCGTTGGAGGCGTCGTCGTCACGTACGGACTTAAGTCCTGGTGACAGACGTCAGGGACTTTCTGCAATGCTGATTCCGACCACGTTGGACTTGGATTCCATTGATCAACCATTTCTGTTTCTGTTATGTTGAAGTTCTTGGACCCTGGTCGCCTGCTCGTGATGGACCCAGCTTGGACAGCGACTAACGTGTCTCCAGACGTGACTGTGGAAGGAGTGCAGCGCGGTGACATGTTGGGAACTGGGGTGATGGGTTTCTCGTCGGAATTTTTCGCTTTCCGTTTCGCATTAGGTTGGATTCTCGTATCCTCTATCCGTATATTGTGGTACCTGGAAGAGGAAGCTAAAGTTACACATGCGGTTTTGCTATGATGCTGGCTATCCTGATGTGTATTTTTTCATAAATTCTATGCTCTCGTATAGAGGTAGATAAGCAACTGACTAAATTCTTCGAAATTTAAATCTCAAGTGGAAAAGTGTTATGGTATCTTATCTTTTGTTTATGATAGAAGATTGTTTATATTAATACCTGTTTTCCTGCAATGACACCGAGTAGTCCACTGGTCCGTTGTCGGTCCTTTCATACGCGTAGTGCATCGGAGCTATGTGAGGAGGAACATGTGGAATATGAGGCTGTACTGGGTTGGGCATCATCACTGGCTGGTTCCCGTTGATGCAGACGGGTGGGGTTGTGTACTGCATCGTCGGGGGGTAGACCTGGACGTCTGGGCCTGGGGGTGGCCCGTACATCCTTGAAGCTGCTTCGTAGGCCAGGCCGTAGTGGAGTTTGGACTGGACCGCGTAGTAGTGGTATAGCCAGGGGTTGGCTTTCATGACTGCTGCTTCTTGCTCACTGTTGACAATATTATAAAATTAGACTAATTGTTCCAGTCAACACAATTATAAGTTCTTGCAACTCACGAAGTCTAGTGAGCTTTACTTGTGTGTGTACCTACGTGTACATGCACATAACGATAGTGTCACATATTGTCATTACTATCAAAACTTTTGAAAAACAAACAGTAGCGAGCCACCACACATGTAAAGCTCACTCACCTTCGTGAATTGCAACTATACTTATAAAGGTGGTAGAATACTATCAAATGCTAGATCAACTTTATCTTGATATCACTTTGTTTTCTGAGACACAAAACATTAGTTTCATGGCATACTTAGGTTCTGCTGCAATCGTAACTACTACTACTTTACATTGGTGTGCTGTACCGTGCGTCTCATTTGTTGATTTTTATGCTGATGTGATTTCAAAGCACAATTACGTGTTTTGTAATGAATACAAAATCAATTAAACCATTTTTAATAGGTCATTTCTTACAAGGAAGAATCGGCTGTCATTGTATAATGCAGGTTACATGCTTTGCCCATTAGCATCTGGAATGGGTCCAAAGTAAGTACTAAAGTTTAATGTTTATACTAATGATTTTATCTGCGGACCTGAACATTGGTCAAATTGGTACTTCAGTGTAATGGGAATTGCGGTAATATCTCGCTAGGTAATTTTTATTTAAATGGGTGGTACAGATTTACACAACACACACACGATTTATGTGCTGTCTTCAGAAAAGTCTTTCACCTACTGAGGGCCCTGGGCATATTCAGGGGACTTTTCCTTCATTAAAAAAGTTGTGACAGTAGGTATTTATTTATTTAAAGGCACGACCATAAGGTTATTAAGCAAATTAATTTTAACATTAGGTTCATCGATGAGGCAAGTGTGTACTCGTAAAATATGTAACTGAAGGCGCCTAATTCTTCTTTGCTCATGTGTCATTAGATGATTTAGGTAGGTATATTAAAAGACCCTTAGTCTGTTTCTGTCTATTTATGCATCATCAAACCGCCTTGATATTGTTTAGGTCAAGAGGGCGCGCAATCCGCAATCCTTATCATGTGTTAGTTCCTGCTGAAAACCAGCTTCTCGACATGGCGCTTGTTATGTCGCGAATATTGCTGAGAGCGGACGCCTCTTCAGCATAGCTTGTAAGTTAATGTTATGTGCTGTATTTTTATATGATGATAAAAAAAAATCTATAAAAAAATCCAAAAAAATCCTTAGTACCTTGGTATATTCCTTAAAATTGCCTCTCATTTGTCCCACTCATAGAACAATGGTAGAAACATACAGGTAGCTCAATCAGCAAGATGCCTAGTATAAATTTGTAAGCGTAACCTTTAGCGGCTCGCTGCGAGCAACCTTTAAGATAGTGGATGCAGGGAAATGTCACATAGTTGGACTCGGGCCTGGACCTACATAGGGACGGTCGGCGAGAAAAGTGCTGGGAAAGAAAGTACTAAGTAGAGAAAGCAGTATTATCTTTTTGGTAAAAATAGTTTCTGCATAAATGCTTAAAACTCTAGCGTCTAGCTAGACTGTAGAGTAAGTTGAGTGTATCAAGAGTTGCACCTCACATTAGGCAGTTCGATTTTTTTCTAATTATTTACAAGTTGAAGGCACTTGAAGGTAGCTTATGTCAACTGTGTTATAGTTTGCTCAAATCGTCTAATTAGAATTTAGTTTTTTGTGAAAATCTAATTGTTTGGCGATTCTTTGATTATCTTAAGTACATATTTATTGTACTTGCAAGTTACGAGTACCTAAGTGCACCTAAAATGTATCACTTTTTTAACAATTTACAAAACAATTAACATCTGATAAAATAATAAAAACGAACTACTATGATGAGTGTAATTATGAATGATTCGAGGTCATGTATGTATACGAATGGCATAGATATAACTATATCCATGGCAGGGGCTGCGTAAGCGCATCACTCTTGTCATTAGTGACACAACGACGTTTATCATGTGGATTTAGCTTCGACAACTCACGTACCTACTTACAGACAGTTCTTGTGTTGCAATGTATTTGATTGAAGGTACGATGAGGTTTGATAAACAAGAGTTATTACATTCGCAACCTTTTACTCGTATTTATCAAGTACCTAGTTTTCATTAAGCGTCATGTGTATTTACGGTGTACTCTTTCATTAAAACCTATTAAATTACCATAAACTCCTTGATGCATAAACTGGAGGAAAAAGGAATAGATTTTTCAATAAGTATTAGGCGTTTTCTCCCTTTAGACTTTTCGTAGTCTATAGGATAGGAACATTAGGAATTAGATTATGCTGTCAGAATTATGAGCTTCGTTCGTTTCAGCCGAAAGACGTCCACTGCTGGACACTGAGCTTCACATTATCAAAATTATTAATAATCTTGATTTTTTGAACAATCTTTCAATAACCAAAACCTAGTGCACGCGAGTGTACATCAAGTTTAGATATACGTTGGACGACGACAAATCGTTTTAGCATTCACATTGGGAAAGAGCAGATAGGGGCCGCCTGAATCAAAGGGTAAATGTGTCGCGGTACACTTGACCCGTATGCCGCGGATGTTGCGATAAGGCTTTTAGGGTAATTTAAGACCCACTTGCTAGTTACTTGAATTCGCATTAAAGTATCGTCATCAGGCAAAATGACGACAATCAATTGGAACAAAAACTTAGATAACAACTAACTATGTAAAAAAGTAACAAAAACTAAGTGACTTGATCAATCGCTGAATTTGACACAGTGCTTCCGATGGGATTGTACCCATCGGAAGCACTGTGTCAACTAAAGATGTCAACTATTTTGTAAAAACCCGTAAATTTGTGAAATCCAAACATTTATCTTGGATAAGATGCTTGTGTCTATCATATTTAATTTTTTTGATTTATTTATTAGTCGATTGTCAGCTAACGCGTTGATGTCTTTACTACGGCGACACAAAATCACCTATTTTAAAATTTAAATGTTTGTTAGTTCACACAGATCAAAGAAAGCCTCTCTGAAAGTGAAACCATCTACCAAACACTAGCATGGCTTTATCTAACTCGCGCTATACAGGGTGGAATTTTGTAATGCCACCTGGAGGGAAAGTACTCTTAATACTGTAGATAGAAAATTTTATTAAAAAAAAAACATTCCTTTATTTCTGAAAATATACAGAACTGCATTCAAAGATTTCCAAATTTTTTTCAAAAATTCACCACCATGCCTTAAAATTTTCTGTAAATAATTAAAGTAACTTAACATCTCATAGTTTTCCTTTCATTTGATTTGTCAAGTTTATTAGAGACTTTTTTTTCTTGGCTTTCGCGGTTTGCGTTTAGCCACAACGGTTGAGAGATTTAATACTTATCGATCGATGCTATAAAAATACAGGGTGTAATTTTTAGCAAATTTTAGTTGGTTCGACTCCCGGGTGTGGTAAGGAAATTTTTTGGAAATCTTTGAATGCAGTTCTATTTCTTTTTAAAAATAAAGGAATGTTTTCTTTGAATAAAATGTTCTATCTACAGTATTAAGGGTACTTTCCCTCCAGGTGGCATTACAAATTTTTTTTTATTTTTTATGCATAACAAGGCAGGAATTTGACCACAATCGCACCGATGTTAAGTGGGATGCAGTCTAGGATGGTACATAATATCTGTAATTCCACCCTGTATACCACAAATACGGTAACAGTCAACAAATTGTCAACATGTCCGCCGCCTACGTCGCGTCGCGATTTATGCGCGCGCGCAGACGCACAAATTGGACGGCGCTCTCAAACATTCCATTAACTCGGTTATGCATAACCGGAGTAACGAGGTGAAATATTAAAAGGCTTTTTGTTGCTGGATGTATAAATGGAAAGCAGTGTAGCAGTACGAGGGAGTTTGACGTGGACGCTATGCACTGGATGTAAGTACTAACAATATTACAATATAGGGTCTAGAACTACTTTTTCAGTTAATTTCTTAGTGATACTTCAGTTGATTGATTTTTGAATACAGAATCGTTGTGCCAGAATACTCTTAAGCCTAGGCGCAGACCACCGTCTTTAAAGTTGGCCGATAGTTGGGCCCGATTCTAATTATGTAGTATGAAAATCAAATAGGTGTAATGTGCGCACTTCTATACATGTCTATACTGATTAACGGCCCGACTAAACGATCAGCCGACAAAAAGTTGGTGGTCTGCGTCTAGGCTAAGATCAGATGATTGAAGCTTAACAACAAAACACGAACAAAAGTACCTAGTCTATCTCTACTCATATTATTATGAAACTCATATTTTGAGTGTCATCACATTGATCCTATTCCTAAATAATATGTTCATGCATTTTTCCGCTGATTGTTTATGAGGTTATTGGTATGAGGTCTAAGGTAAATTTTTAGCCTGACGTAAAACAAACCTATTGAATGCAACTTTGAAAAATGTTACTTAAAGTTATAAGGAGAAGTAAACGTTAGGCTACCTACCTACCTACCTACTTTTGCCAATTATCTAAAAGTGCAAAATGTTCCAACTGACCCACAAAATATTAACGGCGGCCATAAAATAGCAAAGTAAGGACCCCATTAAACCCTCCTCGCTAGCCGGTCTCATTATTAAAGCGTACTGTGTTTGTCTGTGAATAGGGTTGCCAAGTCCAAAGCCGGACTCTGTGCTTCATTTGGCCGGACATTTTACCCTAAAAACCGGACTTAGCCTAAAAACTGGGGACCCATTAATGATTGCACACTAATTCTAGTGTCATACTTAGCTCACGAGTGAGTACTATCATCATCGGTTGCCCAACATCCTGAAGAGTGTTCTTGATATTATTGTGTAGCTCGACTTTCTCCTGGCGCGTCCGCATAAAAAGCCTAACAAAAGCCGGACAGGCCGGACAAGACCCGTAAAAAGCCAAACATGTCCGGTTAAAGCCGGACACCTGGCAACCCTATCTGTGGAGAGCACGAAGCGACATGAATTGCGCAACAGGGCTGTGACAAATTGTGTAATCCCCCGAACAATGAGAGCT